AAAGATGGAAATGGTAACCAACAATTGATTCTTACCAACAATTTAATCTTGCTTTCATTTCGTAACATTTCTGTTTAAATAGCCGAAAAGTGAACCGAGCACTGTAAATGCATATAATTCTGGGAATAATGTAAGTTGTCGATAAGAATTTATTAATAAATTTAATGAATGTCATATGCTTGTTTCTCATTATTCACTGTTTATTCGGCTATATAAATTTTCGTACAAAGCTGTAGTTGCCACTTTAGGTGACAGAGTAAGCTGAAATCAAACTGAAAACGTCCCGTCAAGATATAGAAAATAGCTGAAATTTTCCTTATAGAATGTGCAAAGTGCGTCTTAAGAAAAAATAAACGACTTTTCAGAATATTATGTTCTGAAAATCTTTCCTCTTCCTTCTTAATTTTAAATTAAAAAAAAATTCTCGGTTTTTGTAAACCTCTGCCAACCACCCCCGGAGGCTGTTTGGATGAGGAAATACGTTAAGCTTTCAAAATCCCGAATTGTGTGAAGACAATATGCATGTAAGGTGACCAAGTTCTTGGTGAGCAGAAAATAATAATATTTTTTGTAATCATTTAAATGCTTCAGCGACTACGTGAAGGATACATGTTCTTTTAAAAAGTGTAAACATCAGGCGAAATAACCATCTTTAAGTGTTTTTTTAATTCTTACCATTCAGAAGACTACAGTGCTAAGTTTTATGCGCCTTTTTTTTCTCGCATATCAGATCCCGCAGTGAGCATATGAGAAATAGAAAAGACAAGTGTATGTAAATTTGAAGGAAGACTAACGCACTTTTATCTTTCTAGATTACTATAACAGTGACATTGAGATTACTGAAAAAGAAGATGAGAATTAGTTCATATCTGAAAGCTGTTAACAGTTTTCCATAACCAAAAACAGTCACATGTTGACCTACATAGATCGGGTTCAAATGACAGTCATTGGGAATATATAACAGTGTATACTGCATTCGGCTTGCCGACAGTAGCGCGTTGACCTACTTCTTGCAAAAATAATTTTTAAGTAGACTAAGCACTGCATCAGGTAACAGATTTTCAATATTATACTATGAGATTTTAATAGTGATACAAGTTTAGAAAAACATTCCAAGACTAGAAAATGCATTTTATTAAATTAAAATTAAAGCAATGCAGCATATCAGCTCCAACTAGAAAACGCTATTTCGTTAACAAATCATCGGCATCTTCAGTAACATACAAGTTGATTAGTTTTATAGTCTGTACTCTGTCTGTAATAACACATAAATTAATAACAGCTCTACTGCAACTGAATGTGGTTTCTGAGTGACAAGAAAGCTTTTTCAGAAATTATGGTTTT